AATCACTACTATCCGCTCAGTCCATTCCCCCCCTCCTTTACTTTCTCGCTTATGAAGTTAGAGGATCAACCTCCCTCGTCTTTTTCGCTGGGGGGGGGAGCGCTTTTAGTTCTTTTTCTCTGCATTTTGACAACTCACAGTTAAGCCGATCTTTTCTTTTTCAATTTTTTCGGATGGTCGCTTTATCACTCGGTGACGTCTGGTGGCTCCGCTAAACCCCGTAAAACGGGGTCGCTCACGCAGCAAGGTCCATTGGGGCAGGGCATGGCGGGAGCCTCGATCTCCGACCTCTCGGCCGAAAGAGAGCTAGTCACCACACCTTAAAAAGGATATTATAGCTTTGGGAAAAGTGCAGATCCTGAGGTGCTCGTTCGGGTCTCCGCTTGCGCGGATTCCCTCCTCCACCGCGGGCGGGCGAGACGCCCTCGGGAGCGGGAGCCAAACCGGAAGCCCTTTTCTCTCTTCTCTTTGATTGAAAGTTTGTTCAGTGCTTCATTTGCTTACTTATGTTTAAAACATTCTTTAACACACACCCCCCGAAAGGTCCACTCAGTGATGGCTCTGTGGTAGCCACAAGGGCCAGTTACATGCCAGCGCTAAACATGGCGAGTGTGCGTGTCAACAGTGGACTTATCCCTAAAATGGTGTCCATGATGTCTGGAAGCCCCTAAGGAGAGACTTGAGGTTGGGTTCCAAGGTATAGGGCAGGTGTGCTTGTAGAGTCCCAGGTTACACTCTTTGCTTGCATGAATGTTGCGGGTGGCTAAAACTCCCTGTTCCACAGGCGGTATTCCATGCTAAGTGATGACCCTTCAGAGGCAATCGATGGGCAGAGAGAGAGAGCCCCTCCCGTTCATTCCAGTGACACTCCTCCCTCCTTCCTAACCGATGCTTCAATTGCTGTCGTGATGTTTTGTGTGTATTTTTAAGTCTCTTTTTAAAATTGTTTTACTGTTTGGGAATCGGTTGACTTTAATGGCTGTAAAATGTGATTTTTATCACATTTGTTTTAAATGGTTACCCAGCCCAGTGGCCCTTTTGAAGTCAGAAGGGTGGAATACACGTTTTTTAAAATAAATAATGAAATAAATTTGAGAAAGGGAAGGTTATGGTCAATGGCGCCATCAGAAAAGACAGGTGCCGTCTTCTTTCTCTTACGGACCCCCTGCCAACTTACTGTCTGTTTCACCCGATGCCCTGGAACACTGAAGATGAATGCAATACGTGTGAACCTTGCTTACTTTCCAGACCAAGATCAACAAAGACTTCACAGTGAAAGCGGCCGGGCAGGGCCAGGCCACCATGACCGTAGTGACCTTGTACAACGCAAAACTCCGTGAGCAGGCTGTTCCCTGCAGGAATTTTGATCTGCACGTGGCTGTCACACCTTTCCAGCTCCGTAAGTCCCAACGGTGGGCTTTGAGTGGCCAGAAAAGCGACAGGCCTGCTCTCGAGTTGAACGGCTGCATAATCCCTGAGGATTTGCAGCAATGCTACTTAAATCTTGATTTGGTGATGTATATGGAGATGGGAAGGCAATGGCAAATCATCTCTGCTTAATCAGTTCCCCCTGAAAACCCTGTGGGGTCGCCAGAAATCAGGTGCAGCTTGACAGCACTTTACACACTCACACACATATGGCGATGGAGCATCCACGCCAGCATTCCTGTACATATATGCCTTACAAAATTATGGACTAGGGTCAGGGGTCATTTCGTAGAAAAAGAGGTGCAGGGGCTCATTTAGCATAACTCATTAGCATAACTTATTTGCATATGCCACACACCCTGACATCATCAGACGTGTGTCAGACGGCAACACCCACCACTGGACTGTTTTGGATTGCTAGCTATTGGGGGGGGGGGAACGTGCAGCTCTGTCCTCACAGAGGAGCTTGTACCTGAATAAAACTTGGTCTTAAAGGTGCCACTGGACTGTTTTGGGCCGGGGGGGGGGGGTTCTGCAGTTTCCCTGGCTGTTGCTGCTTCTTGCCCTGACTGAGGGCTGCTGGGAGCAGGGGGTGGGGCTTGTTGCATGTGCCTGCCCCCCGGGCTCTTTACTGCCGGAGCTCTGCTCCTGTGCGCTCCTGCAGGAAATGACCCCTGACTAGGGTTAAGGTTGCCAACTCTGGACTGAGAAATTCCTGGAGATTTGGGGGTTGGAGCTTTGGGAGGGCAGGGTTTGAGTACAGGGGGGACCTTAAAGGGATATAATGCCATAGAGTCTAGCCTCCAAAGCAGCCATTTCCTCTAGGGGTTTGCTTCTTCTTTTTTACTTCTTTATTCTGCATCATGCAGTGCTGCTGCTGCTTCCAACAATTGCCAGGCAACTACAGATTTCCCGGGTAAACACTCTGTTTCCCTCAATGCTTTGCCAGGTCGCTTTATATTTGGAGCCCATGCTCTACGTCTCCTACTCAGAATTAATCTTGCATTTAATCTTGTATTACCTGGGAAATCTGTAGTCACACGGCAATTGTTGGAAGCAGCAGCAGCAGCACTGCATGACGTAGAATAAAGAAACAAAAGAAGAAGAAGCAAATTCATGGACTGTAATTGGACTAGAATCACTTTTGCACAGTGAACATTGGTTGGGGTGCAACCTTGGTTGAGTCACTGTGGTCCATTTGTGGCTGGAATTCTCTCTAGGGGAGCTGATTTCTGTCATTGGGCAATCAGTTGAAACCCTGGGGATCTCCAGGCCCCACCTGGAGGCTGGCACCCCTACTTCAACCATATACAAGTGAGCACTACCAGCTTCAATAAAGCGTTAGATTAGAATATGCATATTTACTGCTTATGAAAACTTCTTTGCAAGGATTTTTTTAATGGAAGGGGTCTTTTGGTGAGCAAGCTAGAGATGAAATGCATAGCACATGGACCAGGGGTGTTAAACATGTAGACCGGGGGCTGGATCAGGCCCCCAGAGGGCTTCTCTCAGACCCGCAGTGGAACTGGCTGTCTCCTGCTTCTGCTTCCAGTTCTGCTCCTGCTGCGTCATGGTAGGTTTGCAGCTTACATATACACCCCTGAACAGCATACTCAAGACTGCAACAGCACAGACATTTTGAGGCAATAATTCAGAGCAAGAGGTGTCGGTTATCAGGCACTGTTAAATAAACAAAATATTGCAAGGGTGCTCATGTTTTGAGCATGTTTTTATTTTAAGTAAAAAAAAACCCCAACCTTTGTGTTTGTGTCCTTTATAAAGTTTATATCTCCGCTACCTGGCGTTACACTTTATGACACACGTGGCCCAGCCCAACAAGGCCTCATTTATGCCAGATCCGACCCTCATAACAAATGAGTTCGACACCCCTGGTGTGGACAAATCCTTTTTCACACCGACTCTGGAGTCGAGTGAACAATCTCTCCCAAGGCACTTCGCACAGTGTGGGTGTAATGCAAAGAGGCTAATTTCTCTTCTTCTCTCAAAACAATTTCTAGGTAAGGCAATAGATGGAGTCCTTGGAGCAGTCAAGATACAAATCTGTGCCAGGTGAGAACGGTGGGAATTGAAGGTAACTCTGGGTCATTGTGGCAGTTCAGAGTAACAGTGGGAGAAGTTCAACAAGTTTAGAGTCCAGTGGGGCACTTTTAAGACCAACGAAGGTTTTATTCAAGTGTGAGCTTTCGTGTACATACACACTTCGTCAGATACATTGAAACGGAAGCTACCAGTCCATACATATACCTACTTACCTGTATGTACGGACTGGGAACTCCCATTTCAATGTGTCTGAAGAAGTGTGCCTGCACATGAAAGCTGATACCCTGAATTAGACTTTGTTGGTCTTAAAGGTGCCCCTGGACCCAAACTTTGTTCTATTGCGATAGATTCAGGTGGGTCGCTGTGTTGGTCTCCAGCAGTGGCACCTTTAAGACCAACGAAGTTTTATTCAAGGTATGAGCTTTCGTGTGCAAAGGGCAAAAACACTGGAATGGCAGGCAAGGTTCAAACTTATAGCCAGAGAATGGACAGCAAGTATCTAGGTTCGAGCCCAGGAGGATCTCAGAAACCAAGGCTGTGGTCACATAATCATTTTGATCGGGTTTCACCGCTATTCCCTCTCACATTTAAAATTGCTGATCAGACACCCATATCCGTCTCCTGCACTGAAGTGGGCTTACTCACGCAATCCTCCCGGTTCCCTAGCGAATTTTCCAACACCGGGAAAATCAAGTACTTTCCGCATATTTGCGTTTGAATCCATGATTTTGCCTATCTGGACAGCCATCTCTCACAATGATTGCGATTAGGTCGTCTGAACGTCCTTCTTCCAGTAGTCTTTTTTGTGACTTTCACCATTGGGCACATGTGTGTGCATGTGCATATGCGCATGTGCAAATAACTTTTTTTTTTTAATTGTGCTGCGCCACCACTTGGGCGGCGCAGCTGTCTGGACAGTGCCGGGAGCATTGTCGCGCAAAGCAAGCGGTTGAGCAAGGGATGTGTGATCATCTGAACCCACTTAAAAATATCCCTGATCAAATCTACAGCAGGGGGAAATCGCGGTACGCTTGCCGTGTGACCACAGCCCAACAAGTTTTCCACGGAATGAGCTTTCAAGAGTCAAACCTCACTTCCTCAGATACAAGTTGGAATGGAGATTCCTGAACTCTTATAACCCAGTCAGAAGGTGGGAGAAACAGAGGTTTGAGAGAGAGGGAGAGAGAGAGAGAGTCCGTGGGACCCAATGATGCTGTCATTCTGGGTGCACCAGGGAGGGAGGGAGGGAGGTTATAGTTGTTCCTAAACCTGTCCTGCCTTGTATGCATTTGCCTATCCCCATGATGCATTTGGCCCACTCACTTTCTTCACTGTGGGAAACTTAATTCCCCAAGCGCTGCCAGGCCTGGTGTGGATTGGGACCACAGTGCTGGAGGAGGTGGGACATCGGCCTCCCCCCCTGCCCATTTCCCAAGGCAAAACAGCCCCAGGGTGCTTTTTGCCCTATTGTGGGGCTGCTTGTGCCCTGAATACTGTATCCTATCATGCAGCCTGGCCCTAGTGGTATGAGGAAGGGATGGAACGAACACCCGTCCCTCTCTGAGCTAAGAAATCCATTCTGAGCGTGTTCCCCCTCTGTCTCTGACCGCAGGTACCTCCGTGATTCCGATGCCACCATGACCATCATCGATGTCTCCATGCTGACGGGTTACGGGCCAGCCACGGAAGACCTAAAGAGGGTAGGTGGGACAATCGTATACGTCACCAGCCTCTTTTCTACAAAACAGAACGGCTATTCCTGGCCAGTTCCTCACAGGTGTGGGTTGGCCATAACTGTGTTCGCCACCGTCATTTGCACTTTCTTTATTATTTTATTTCGTGTAGAACCCCAGTGCAGCTGGCCACCTTGCATAAGCAAATATCTTATATCAAATAGTTGAGCGTGGCCTAATCTGTGGATACTTAAATCTGCAGAATGGGCCCTCAGTGACGAAAAACAGGTAGTTTGGCAAACTTGGGGGACTGCCTCAAGTTTGCAGAAAAATCTGAAAAGGTTGAAAAAACACAACGGGGAGTAAAACCCCCCCCAAACAAAAACATTGTCTGCACATGCACAGTTTGGTGTAGTGGTTAAGTGCGTGGACTCTGATCTGTGAGAACCGGGTTTGATTCCACTCTCCTCCACTTGCACCTGCTGGATGACCTTGGGCAAGCCACAGTTCTGGCACAGCTGTTCTTGAGAAAGAGCAGTTTCTGTCAGAGCTCTCTCAGTCCCACCTACCTCACAGGGTGTCTGTTGTGGGTAGGGGAAGGGAAGGGAAAGGAGTTTGTAGGCCGCTCTGAGACTCCTTTGGGTAGTGAAGGGTGGGGTATAAATCCAATCTCCTCCACTTGCACCTGCTGGATGACCTTGGGCAAGCCACAGTTCTGGCACAGCTGTTCTTGAGAAAGAGCAGTTTCTGTCAGAGCTCTCTCAGTCCCACCTACCTCACAGGGTGTCTGTTGTGGGTAGGGGAAGGGAAGGGAAAGGAGTTTGTAGGCCGCTCTGAGACTCCTTTGGGTAGTGAAGGGTGGGGTATAAATCCAATCTCCTCCTCCTCCTCCTCTTCTTCTTTGTCTCCTCCTCCTCTTCTTCTCCTCCTCCTCTGTTGGAGGGAGAGGATCCTCCTCCTCTGTTGGAGGGAGTGGATCTACTATGAAACTTATGAAGCTTAAGCTTCAGGGCTGCTAATCCTGAAGAGGCCCTGAAGCAACTTTTTTGTGGTGATCTGCCACGGAACAACCCCATCGAAGAAGAGAACAACCCAGACCTCATTGCTGGTGGGAAGGGCCTCACTGTATGGCCTATTTTCAAGGGTTCCACCCCAACACCCCGTTCTCTGTCATTTGGGCCTCGCGGTCCTTGCAAGGGCAGCGAGTACCTTGTTGGATGTTGCCCTATTGTTGCCGGTTGAGAAGGGGCCCTCACAACAGGAAGCATTTGCAGGCCCGGCAGCAGTAGCTGGGAGCTGTGTGGGGCTTGTCACCAGTAGGGGTGTGCAACAACAAAATTTTTTGGCCCGATTTGGATTCGGCCAAATTGGGCGGAATCTGATTCAGCTGGCCGAATGACCCCCGAATGCAACTTTCGGCAATGCAAGCCAATAGGGGTGGCATTTGGCCTGCTGAATCACATTCAGCTCAATTATACCCTATGGGGACCTTGAAGAGGGAGTTTCCTATCACTGAAGGGAAGGCAAATTGCCTTCCCTTTAGTGAAGGGAGTGTGCTGCCTCCGTGGCACGACTGGAGTTTTAAAAGTGAGCGAGCCGGGGAAGGCCTGCAGAGCCCCTCCCCGCCTTCCCTGGTTCGCCCACTGAGGCGGCCGAGCCAGGAAAGGCACGGGACGAGGCAGGGAGGCATTTAAATGCCTCCCTGTGTCTTCCCCGGCTCGCCTGCCTGTAGAGCGCTCCCCTTCCCTGGCCGGCGGCCGCTTTTCAGGCAGCCGCCAAATTTTGGCGGCGGTGGCTTTCGGCAGCAGACCGAATCAGATTAGAGAATTTGATTCGGCCCACGGCTGCCCGAAAGGGGGCCGAATGTGCTATTTTCGGGGGTGCATTCAGTTCGTCCCCCGAATGCCACTTTCGGCAATGCAAGCCAATGGGGTGGCATTCGGCCCGCTGAATCACATTCAGCTGAATTATACTCTATGGGGACCTTGTCACCAGTGTTGGGGGTAGAGAAAGCCTTGGTGTGCCTGGAGGCAGAGGCTGAAAGCTGCTCTGGGCCTGGCAGCAGCAAGAAAAAGGAGGAAATGGAGGTAAGAGGTCCTTTGCTTTGTACTCTGAAACTTTAGTGTATTTTTATGTAGAGTTTGTACTCTGAGATTTTATTTTATGCGCTACAGAAGTGAGCACTCTGAAATATACCATGAGGGAAGCAGTAAAGGGAAGGGGGTTGGGTATGTGGGCCAGCGCAGTGATAGATGCATATTTGGTTGCATTTGGGAATGAACGTGAAAGGGTTAAAATGCAGGCCACACAGAAAGGGTGAGTTTTAAGGAGAGAGGTGGCACCGCCTTAGGGAGGCTCTCCTGCGCTCTGCAGGGTCTCACGTTTTTTGTTCTGTGTTTAGCTTTCCGAAGGTGTGGACAGATACATCTCCAAGTACGAGATCGACACCGAAAAGTCCGAAAGGGGGAACCTCATCATCTATTTGGACAAGGTAAATTGGTTCTTCTGTCACCAGCTACCCAGATGGGGCAGGTGGAGGCAGGCTCAGGAATCTGCTCTTCTTCTTATCCCCCTTCCTTCAGAGCACTGAGGCTGTGGGCGGTTGGGCCCCTCCCAGTGTGGGGCAGCCCCTCCCACTGGCCACTGGCTGAGACTGTCTATGTTTATGATGTGACCTACTGTCACGGCTCAGGTGGGTCGTCACCTGACACTGCCACCACTCTGGATTTAGGATCCCTTGAGGATCCCAGAGCACCCTCCCAAGACCTTCAGACCTCCCTTTTTGGCCGAATAATAGGTGTGAGGACCAGGCAGAGTGAACAATGAAAATGGTTTATTGTATAGGAGGTCAAACAAACAAGGTGCAGGAATAATAACAGTAAGTGGGCGAAAAGAAAACAAATCAAATGCCCCAACGCGTCTAAATATGTACTGTCCCTAGCTCACTATTCCAAGTGGCACTAGACTACTCACCCTTCCCTCAGGATGAGGGTTTCTTCCCCACAGCAGCCTCTTTCTTTTGGCCCTGTTCCCTGGGGAAAAGAACAACTCTTCCTCTGTACCAGATCTTTTATTATAAGTCCCCTTTCTCTGTGATTGGCTAATTTTGGCTCCAAAACTTCTCAGGGGTTTCTGGGAGTTGGCCTCCACCAACTGCTACACAGGCTCCCTGGGCCTGCTAGGCCTTGCTTGCACAGCCCAGATCATGACACCTACTTTGGGCTGCCAGAAGATGGGATCTGTCAGCTGTCCTTGAAAAAGAGCAGTTTCTGTCAGAGCTCTCTCAGCCCCACCTACCTCACAGGGTGTCTGTTGTGGGGAGGGGAAGGGGAAGGAGTTTGTAAGCCGCTCTGAGACGCCTTTGGGTAGTGAAGGACGGGGCATAAATCCAATCTCTTCTCTCTTCTTCTTCAAACTAGACAAGCCAGTGTGGCGCAGTTGTTAAGATGGTTAAAGTGGTTAAAGCATTGCGCTAGGATCTGGGAGACCCAGGTTCGAATCCCCACTCTGCCAGGGAAGTTTGCCGGGGGACCGAAAAAGCCGGCTCTCTCTGGCTCCCTGCGGAACAACTTTGTCAGGATCACACTGAGAGATGATTTGTCTCCAGCGGAGATCTGGCGGCACACGACGATGTATTGTCTCTTTTTGTTTCCTGTCTCCACCCCAGGTTTCTCATGTGGTGGACGAATGTCTGGAATTCAGAGCTTACAAGTATTTTGAGGCTGGTCTCGTTCAGCCGGGATCCGTCACGGTGTACAGCTACTACTCCCTGGGTAATGGCAACCGCTTCTCTTCCTGGCAGAGATTAAACTGCATAATACCAAACCAGCCCTTTGCAAAAAGGTTCCCAAAGCATTTATTTCCTCCATTTTAATCAGTGCGATCCCATGGAATGAATCCCACACTCCAAAACAGGCACAATGGACAGAGTTGCTAACCTCCAGGCGGTGGCTGGAGATCTCTTAGAATTACAAGTGATCTCCAAACTATAGAAATCCATCCTCCTGGATAAAATGGCTGCTTTGGAAGGTGGACTCAGCGGCATTATACTCTGCTGAGGTCCCTTCACTTCCAAACAGGCCAAACCCCCCCCCCCCCCCATCTCCAGAAATTTCCCAACCTAGAGCTGGCAACTCTAGCAATGGACCACGCTGCATCCATTAGCACTCACCCCACCCCCCTGACCCCAGCTGAAGTGCTCTATGAAGTGCATGGAACAAAGAGTGATTAACACATGGAATCCACTGCCACAGGAGGTGGTGGCAGCTACAAGCATGGACAGCTTCAAGAGGGTATCGGATAAGCATATGGAGCAAGAGGTGCATCAGTGGCTATTAGCCACAAGGTATAGGTAGGAACTCTCAGTCTGGGGCAACGAACGCTCTGTATTCTCAGTGCTTTGGGGGGGAACAGTGTCCTGGCCCCACTGCTGGACCTCCTGGTGGGACCTGGTATTTCTGGCCACTGTGTGACACAGAGTGTTGGACTGGGTGGGCCACTGGCCTGATCCAGCATTTGGCTTCTCTTATGTTCTTACAAGAGGGACTTGGATAAGCATCTGGAGCAGAGGTCCATCAGTGGCTATGAGCCACAAGGCAGAGATAGGAACTCTCAGGCTGGGGCAAGGGATGCTCTGTATTCTTGGTGCTTGGGGGGGGGGCAACAGTGGGAGGGCTTCTGGTGTCCTGGCCCCACTGCTGGACCTCCTGAGGGCCCCTGGTATTTCTGGCCACTCTGTGACAGAGGAGTGTGGGACTGGAGGGGCCATTGGCCTGAACCAACATTGGCTTCTCTTATGTTCTTATGTCTGGGGCAAGGGATGCTCTGTCTTCTTGGTGCTTGGGGGGGGGGTCAACAGTGGGAGGGCTCCTAGTGTCATCTGGCTCCACTGCTGGACCTCCTGATGGCCCCTGGTGTTTCTGGCCACTCTGTGACAGAGGAGTGTGGGACTGGAGGGGCCTTTGGCCTGATCCAACATTGGCGTCTCTGATGTTCTCTTATGTTCTTAACACAACCAAGCAGTCCCGACTCCTGGTTTCCTCTGCTGTAGCCCTAGCCTGCATGAGATGTCTGTGCCTAGGCGGTTAGTACACAAAGGTTGGATCCAGTGATCCAGTCAGGCAAAGGTCATTGACCTGATCAAATTCCCTGCCTTGTGCAGGGGGGTTGGACTAGATGACCCTGGAGGTCCCTTCCAACTCTATGATTCTACCCTCCCCGCTTTCTACTACAGCTCACATTCCCTTTCTGACCCTGGATACGTTGATTCCTGGACTCACATGTGGGTCCTGCGATTCACTGATTTAAAACATTTCTTTGCTGCCTATCCACCCGTGGAGGGTCCCCACGGTGACCCTGCCCGTCCCTGGGATGGCGTTGAGGGAGAAGGGGGCAAAATCACTCCCCATCCTCCCCTAGCAGCACATTTATGTATTTATTTATTTATTTTTCAGATTTTTATCCCGCCCTCCCGGCCAAAGCTGGCTCGGGGCGGCTCCCATAAAAACAGATAATTACGTTGGTTAGCCAAACTGCTTTAATTATTTGCAGAGGCTTGATTAAATTTATGTTGGGTTTTGGTCAATGTATACAGAGGAAGCACTTTCACCCAGAGAATCCAACAAATAGACCACGTGACAAAGGTTTCCTTAGTAATCTTAGTTGTCTCTCTTTACTAAATGATATAACGTTTCACACACACAAAACATAGCAGAGTCATACAATCACAACATACAAGTTAAAGAAAAGAATTCGAAATAGTTACTTAGTTACTTGGGAGTCTGAGATAGGTATTTCGCTCCATACTTGCCTGGCTTCAGAAGATCCTGGAACTGTAGCAGTTGAAGATGATGCGGGGGGGGGGTTAGGAATGGATCCCTGGAATGATTGCTCTTCCACATTGCTTTGGAATGAGCCAGCTAATGTGGGCATGAAGTCTCTGGTCGTACGTTCCAGAGAGCTCACACACAAAGAGTCTAGTCTAAAGGAAAGGTTGGGGGGGGGGGATCCTTGGGTTCCACCTTTCTCTCTGAGACCAACCCATGGCTAACTTCTATTGGCTTGAGTGAGGAAAGGGGCAGGTATTCCCTAGGGGAGGGACAATGTTGAAAGTCTAGATACTATCTCATTTACATCATTTTGGCTAGGTGTTAAGAGATGTTTCCTGCAACTCCTTTTGTTGTGTTGATGAAGCTGGCCTCTCTCTCTCTCCGGAATGCAGGAGCTGTAAATGAGGCTTGACATAGAAATGCAGATTTTCAGTCCATGCCTACGTGATTCTTCATCTCTCCAGCAATGGGGAATCTCAGTCTCCAAGTTGTTGTTTTGCTCCTAACAAAGGACGCACCATGTTGTCTTGTTCCCACAATCCTTTGCTGACTGTAGGTGTGTGTGTCAAGATCCATTTACATAACCACAGCAGGCAAAAGCCTGTCAGGTAAACAGAGTCACAGCAGATGAGACACACACAGCCTTACCCAAGTCCATGTGGATTTGTGAGCATATTTCATGGCATGTGTCCTTGTATAAGCAAATATTTATTCACCAAAAAGTTCATCTCCTAACACGTTAAAACATAGAGCTGCAGTTAAAACAATTATAAACTCATAATAAGGTGCTAGTGATTATTGGTATTCATATGACGCTAGCAGCCAATATATACACCTGCCCACTGTCCGAAAAGGCAAGAAGAGTGATGTCACCTGCTTCTCTCCCCTCGCTTCATCTGAAGGGCCCATCCCCCTAAAACGGCTCGCTGTGTTCCAGAGGAAGGGTGGGGCCCTTTACATTTATCCCCGGCAAGCTCTAACCCAGGCACCTTTGGGATTCTGACCCAGCAGGGCGGGTGCAACCACAAAATGGCTGCTACAAAATGGCTGCCGTGTAGGAGGAGGACCCAGCCACAAAATGGCTGCTGCAGCGGCTTCCCTTCAGCCACATAGTGAAGAGGCGTGTGCAGGGGTCATTTCGTAGAAAAAGAGGTGCAGGAGCTCATTCGCATAGCTCATTAGCATAACTCATCTGCATATGCCACGCCCCCTGACATCACCGGGAGTGTGTCAGAAGGCAACGCCCACCGCTCAGGCTCCGCTGGACTGTTTTGGATTGCTAACTATGGGGCCCTAGCAGAGGAGGGAGCGCTCGTACCTGAATAAACCTTGGCCTTAAAGGTGCCACTGGACTGTTTTGGATTGCTAGCCGGGGGGGGTGGTGCACAGATCTGCCCTAGCAGAGAAGGGAGAGCTTGTACCTGAATAAACCTTGGCTTTAAAGGTGCCACTGGACTGTTTTGGATTGCTAGCTGGGGGGGGGGGAAGGAAGGAAGGAAGGAAGGAAGGAAGGAAGGAAGGAAGGAAGGAAGGAAGGAAGGAAGGAAGGGGCTCCTCGTGGCCCGGGGCTGCCGGGAGCAGGGGGCGGGGCTTGTTGCATGTGCCCGCCCCCTGGAGTCTTTACTGCCGGAGCTCCACTCCTGTGCGCTCCTGCAGGAAATGACCCCTGGGCGTGTGCTGTGGTGGCAGCTGCTGCCCGAGCGGCATTTGCATGGCCCATCAGATCTCCAAAAGCCACTCAGAAGCCTCACTGGGCAGAGGCCCCACCTACTATCTGAAGATACTTGAGACCAGTGTTCCCTCTAAGCTGAGTGAGTGTGAGCTAGCTCACAGTTTTTTAGCCTCCGGCTCACCCATTTTTGTCTCCACTCAGGGAGGATGGGGCTCCAGAGCAAACTGATTGATGCAGCAGCCAAATCGCTCGCTCACATCTTTAATGCCAGGAGCTCACCAAGTAGGATTTTTGCTCACAGGACTCCACAGCTTAGAGGGAGCGTTGGTCACCAGTGTGATGACGTCACTTTCAGGTGATGTCATTGCGGCAGTGACATCTCAGAATGCCCCCAAAATCCCCCCCCCCGCTGGCATGACGAGGGGACCTGGCAATCAAGGGAAGGCTTTGCAATTGACTGAGCAGAGTGGTAGGATAAGAAGCCATGGGTCGTCTGCAGGCCTGCTCAGTCCCCGTGCGTGCCTGCACAGCGGATACTCGATGCACGACACTCACAGTTAAGTACAACCCTGTTTTCTACTGCAGACCAACCCGGCGACCCTCTTAAATGATCTTTCTGCTCCTCTCTTCAGATGACCGCTGCACCAAGTTCTACCATCCGTTCCAGGGACGCGAGCACCTCAATAAGATCTGCCACGGTGACGTTTGTCGGTGCGCGGAAGGTAAGTCTGGGGCAGGGCGGGGAGAGGAAATAACTGCTTCCAGTTCGGCGTTGTGGTGAAGTGCGCGGACTCTAATCTGGGGGAACCGAGTTTGATTCCCCACTCCTCCACTCGCAGCTGCTTGGGCAAGCCGTAGTTCTGATAAGAGTTGTTCTCTCAAGAGCTCTCTCAGCCCCACCTACCTCACGGGGTGTCTGTTGTAGGGAGGGGAAGGGAAAGGAGATTGCAAGCCGCTCTGAGACTCCAAGTGAAGGGCGGGGTATAAATCCAATCTCTTCTTTTCTTCTTCCTCTTCTTCTTCCTCTTCTTCCTCTTCTTCTTCCTCTTACTCTTCTTCTTCTTCTGCTGCTCGCCAAAGACCTCCAAGGAATTTGTCATCTCCGGTTCTGCAAGGCTGGATTTTTGTGTCTCTGTGGCCTTTCAAAGGGTCTGGAGGAGTTTTTTTTTCAGCTTTGCAGATTCAGTGTGTTGAAATGAGCAGCACGCCTGTGTAGTTTACAGAGCCCACAGTAGGATCCTGGAGGTCTGGTTGCACTATGCTGTTAGTCGGGAGCGCCGAAACTGTTTTATGAATTTTGTTAATTATTTAACTGTCTTTTTGCGTTTTGTATTTTATACTGTTTTATTGTTATTATTTGGCGCTATGCCTCTGTTAGCCGCCCTGAGCCTTCGGGGAGGGCGGGATACAAATTTAAATAAATAAATAAATAAATTAGTTATTTTGGAATCTCTGTCCTAAGCTGCCCTCTGCGTGCCCCTCCTGCCTTCCCTTGGCTGAGACGGGCTCCGCCTCTGCTGCGCTCAGGGTTCGGGGAACCAACAGCTGGCAGCTCTTCTAACATGTCCAGCTCGTGACACCCGGGGGGCTTCCTAAGCAACCACCTGTGCCTTCATGGTCTTTCTCTCTCCTCTCCTCCCAAAGAGAACTGCTTCTTGCACAGACAACCTGCCGACTTGCAGGAGCGAGTCGTGGAAGCCTGCAAGCCAGAAGTAGATTACGGTAACTGCACTGGGATAGCTGGGTTGCGTGCAGGAGGGAAGGGGTTGTGTTGTGTCCAGCTGCCCCCTTTGAAAGGTCAATGGTGGTCAGCACCTCCGCTCATCCGCAGCGTTTGCCTCCTGGGCAGCGGCCACGTGGCAAGGTCACCTCCGTCTGCACGACAGGGCTGGCGATGCCCGACTTTTCATCCATGGCAATCTACAGTTGCCAGTCTCAAGCAGTGTGTCCCTCTAAGCTGAGTCGGTGTGAGCCAGCTCACAGTTTTTTAGCCTCCGGCTCACACACTTTTGCCTTAGCTCAGGGAGGCTGGCTCCAGAGCAAACTCATTTGTGCAGCAGCCCAATCGCTCGCTCACCACTTCAATGCCAGTGGCTCACCAAGTAGAATTCTTGCTCACAGGACTCCACAGCTTAGAGGGAGCGTTGGTCTCAAGGTGGGGCCTGGAGATCTCCAGGAAACAGAAGTCAGCTCCCCTGCAGAAAACGAGGGCCGATGGATGGCGGATTCTACGGGAGGATACCCGGCTGAGGGCCTCCCCCAAGCCCACCCTCCCCAATGTTCCACTCCAGAATCTCCAGGAGTTCCCCAGCCCAGAGTTGGTGTAGGCCTCTGCAGGCCTCTTGCCTTGACCAGGGTGCCCCAGGATAGCCCGATCTCGTCAGAAGCTAAGCAGGGTCGGTCCTGGTTAGTCGTTGGATGGGAGACCACGGAGGAAGCCCAGGGTTTCTACGCAAACCGCCTTTGATCATAGCTTGCCTCCAAAATCCTTTCCGGGGCTCAATGCTCCCTCTAAGCTGTGGAGTCCTGTGAGCGATTTGGCTACTGCATAAATCAGTTTGCTCCGGAGCCCTCCTTCCTGAGTGTAATATATCCAGTTCTGACCACGTGGCCGGCTTGGGCTCCACGCGGTCCAGCGCAAACGTCGAGCTTCGCTCCAAGAGACAATGGACTATGCAGATACTAGCCCATGCCAATCAGTGGGCTAGGTTCCCATCTGAGAGCCTATGGGACTCTCGGCCACTGTAAATAACCTATTGGGAAGTGGGGGGGTGTTATGGGTGGCGGTTTCACAGGGAATATAAGCCGGCCTGCGAGCCGGGTAAAGTTGTCTTGTTCTTGATCTGATAAAGTACGCTAAGCTGAAATCACTCGTCCGTCTGCGTACTTTTCACTGAGCTAAGACAGAAATGTGTGAGCTGGAGGCTAAAAAACTATAAGCTAGCTCACACTCACTCAGCTTAGAGGGAACACTGGCCGTAAGTCAGTTTTGAGTTGATGGCACTTTCCACCACCCTTCAAGCTGATCTCATCAGCTCTCAAAAGTGATGCAGGGTCGACCCTGGTTAGTACTTGGATGGGAGACCACCAAGGATAGTCCAGGGTTGCTACGCAGAGGCAGGAAATGGCAAACCACCTCTCTTGCCTTGAAAACCCTGCTTGATGCCACTTTCCACCACCACGTCTCTGAGCCACGTCGGAAGGCTCCATTGCAGCAGACTGCCCTGTGCCACCTCTCTAGTTCTGAAGCCGGGGAAGGGATGAGTCCGAAGGCTTCCTGCTTCCATTGTGGGGAAAATCTCTGCGTCTGAGAGGAGGCCTGTGTCTGAACCAATGTTCCCTCTAAGCTGTGGAGTGTTGTGAGCAAATTCTACTTCATGAGCTACTGGCATTAAAGTTGTAAGCGAGCGATTCGGCAACTGCATAAATTAGTTTGGTTTGGAGCCACATCCTTTCCTGAGCAAAGACAAAAATGTGTGAGCTGGAGGCTAAAAAACTGTGAACTAGCTCACACTAACTCGGCTTAGGGGGAACACTGGTCTGAACTAATGCCTATTCTCGGCCTTTGTTTTAAGTGTACAAAGCCAAGCTTAATGAAACAGAAGAGGAAAACGGTTATGACAACTACATGATGCAAGTTCTGGAAGTTATTAAAGAAGGTAAGAATTTCCTTCCGGGGCGGGGAACGGACCTCAAAAAATCAGAAATATTATTCTTAAAACCTGCTAATTTTCGCCCTATGCTTTAGTTGTTGACGTTTGCTTTTATACATGCATGACATGTTATTTTTATAAACGTACTTTTTAAAATTTTATGATGTGTTTTCATTCTCTGTTTTAAAATGTAAGCCGCCTTGGTCGCCCTGGCTGGATTGAAAGGTGGGATATAAATTTTGCAAAGAGATAAATAAATCGCATCGTATCTGTTTGAGCTTTGAGTTCTATCGCAGGTCAGGTCTCCTGAGGCCTCTTCCTACCAGGTCTCTCTACCTGTCCTTTGAACAGCAGTTTGAGCTGCAAACAATTTACTTTTATTTTATTTTATTAGATTTATATTCCGCCCTCCCCAGTGGGCTCAGGGCGGCGTACAACAGTTAAATATACAATTAAAACCGTATTAAAATAACAGTTTACAGATAAAATAGTAGAATACCATGTAACTATAAAATTGTCAGATGACTAATCAGAAGCAGGCCACTGATGGACAACTGGCCAGGAAAAGTCAGGGCCAAAGAAGCTGGAGGGGGGGAGGGGGGGAAGTCCGCTGCCTCCACCAAATGCCCGGTGGAAGAGCTCCGTCTTTCAGGCCCTGCGGAACTGCAGTAAGTCCCGCAGGGCCCTGATCTCACACTGGACCTCATTCCACCAGGCAGGGGCCAGGGCTGAAAACAGGGTTGCCAGGTCTGGATGGGAAAACACCTGGAGACTTTGGGGGTGGATCCAGGAGAGGGTGGGGTTTGGGGAGGGGCCTTGGCATGGTCCAATGCCATAGAGTCCACCCTTCAAAGCAGCCATTTTCTCCAGGGGAGCTGATTTCTGTCAGCTGGAGATCAGTTGTAAAAGTGGGAGATCCCCAGGCCACACCTGGGGGCTGGCAACCCTAGCTGAAAAAAACCCTAGCCCTGGTCGAGGCCAGCCGGACGTCCCCCTCTCTCCCCACTCGTCAGTTGATGTCAGGCTGTTAACCCCGGGAGTAGGTCTGGCATTCTTCATGGCCAGGGCTCTTTTTGTAGAAAAAGCACAGCAAGAACTCATTAGCATAACAGGCCACACCCAACAGCAGAAACTCATTAGCCATTAGGCCACACCCCTGACAGCACAGCTCATTAGCACATTAGGCCGCACCCCCACGTTACTAGAAGTGTGGTCATCCAGCTAAATCCACCTTTCCCTTCTTATTCTGTTGACCTTGTTTGTTGTCCAAACCCAGGGCTTTTTTTGTAGCAGGAACCAGGGGTCGTTTCGTAGAAAAAGAGCGCTAAGGCCCTCCCTGGCCCCAGGCAGGCAGGGGTGGGGAGAGGCAGGGAGGAAGCAACTTACCCTCCCTCTTCTCCTGCCTCCTCCTGGCTGAATGAGGGCCGGAAGCGGGGCGGCCGGAAGCAGGGGGCGGGGCTTCGTCATGTGCCCTGCCCCCCGTACCTCACCCGGGGGAACTGCGATCCCCCGCGATCCCCCCCGAAATGACCTCTGGCAGGAACTCCTTTGCATGTTAGGCCACACATCCCGTAATGTAGCCAATCCTAATGAGTTCCTGCTGTTGGGTGTGGCCTATTATGCTAATGAGGTCCTGCTGGGCGTGGCGGCCAACTTGGGAGCCAGCCGGAACTCCGTTCCTGTGCGTTCCTGCCCCAAAATAGCCCTATTCATGGCAGTGTCTTGTGATTGGTTGCCTGGAATTGCCTCTGTGTCCATACATGCCTCCTAAGGGCATAATTATTTCCAAAAAAGTGGAGGTCTTTTCCACATTGTAATCTTTCTTGCTTGTAACTTCCTGTTACTGGAGAAGACCCTGATGCTGGGAAAGACTGAAGGTCAAAGAAGACGGGGACGGCAAAGGATGAGATGGTTAGACAGTGTCATAGATGCAACGAACATGAAGTTGAGCCAACTGCAGAGGACGGCGGAAGACAGGAGGGCCTGGCGTGATCTTGTCCATGGGGTCGCAAAGAGTCAGACTCGACTGTGTGACTGAACAACAACAACTTCCTGTTTCTTCCCTGGTGTGTGTGTGTGTTCCGCATGTGTTTGGCTCCCTCTAGTGGTTGATTTGATATCACACTGGTTGATGTCCAGGATAAAAACCTGCAATTTAAATCTTCAGGGAGAGATATCCCAGACATAAACCGGTGTAATAGGGAATCGAACACGAGAGGGAGAAAAACACATGCGGGACAGAAGGGGGGGGGGGAAACAAAGAAAGAGAAATTTGTGAACAAGGAAAACGAGGATGCGACTTGATTCTCCATCTCATGGATAAAAATGGTTCCCCCAGTCATTCTTTCAGTTTAGCATGAGTCGGTTGATCTGCCAATGAAGGCGAAAGTATTTCTGAACGTTTTCCTCTGAATCCACCAGGGAGTGACAGCAACCCACGAGCCAAACCCCGCAAGTTTATCAGCCACATGAGATGCAGGGAGTCTCTGCAGCTGGAGGTGAACGCGGACTATCTGGTCTCAGGTCACAGGAAAGACCTGTGGCCCATCAAAAACGAGTACGTATTTTACTCCTTTCTTTGTTTCATATCCTGCTTCCCCCACATTGGCTCATAAAGCACCTGACGACAGTCTGGCAGAGTGGTTAAGAGAGCAAACTCTAATCTGGAAGAACCGGGTTTGATTCCCCACTCCTCCACATACAACTGCTGGTGTGAACTTGGATCAGTCACAAGTTCTTTCAGAGCTGTTCTCTCAAGGGCAGTTCTCAAGAGAGCTCTCTCAGCCCCCACTCACCTCACAGGGTGTCTGTCATGGGGAGTGGGAGGGGAAGGGATTGTAGGGGAGGAAGGGGAAGGGATCGGGTAGTGAAGGGAGGGGTATAAATACAATCTCCTCCTCCTCCTCCTCTCCTCCTCCTCCTCCTCTCCTCCTCCTCAGGGAAGGGATTGTAGGGGAGGAAGGGGAAGGGATCGGGTAGTGAAGGGAGGGGTATAAATACAATCTCCTCCTCCTCCTCCTCTCCTCCTCCTCCTCCTCTCCTCCTCCTCCTCCTCCTTCTTCTCCTCCTCCTCCTCCTTCTTTTCCTCCTCCTCCTCCTCCTTCTCCTCCTCCTTCATCTCCTTCTCCTCCTCCTCCTTATAATTAAATGGTTCCGCTGAGATTTTTGGAAACAGAAAGTTGGCCAGGAAGATGAGCACAAGATGAAAAGTGGCCCGTCACTGTCCAGATTTTTCAGGGGCTGTGGAGGACCCCTTTTTCTGCCATGTTTTGCTGACATACACAGAACGGGGCAAACCCCAGAGCACGGTTCCTCCAGACCCAGAGAGCCAGTTTGGTGTTGTGGTTAAGTGCACGGACTCTAATCTGGGAGAACCGGATTTGATTCCCCACTCCTCCACATGCAGCTGCTGGTGTGACCTTGGGTCAGTCACAAGCTCTGATAAGAGCTGTTCTTGAAAAAGAGCAGTTTCTGTCAAGAGCTCTCTCAGCCCCGCCTACCTCCCAGGGTGTCTGTTGTGGGGAGGGGAAGGGAGAGGAGTTTGTAAGCCGCTCTGAGACACCTTTGGGGATTGGAGGGCGGGGTATAAATCCAATCTCTTCTTCTTCTTCTTCCTAGAAAGATGTGGTTATCCCCACCTCTGTGGTTGCTGGACTGAGCAAATATGCCTCCCCTCTTGGGGTTGAGCCATGAGTATCTTAGCAGACCCAAGCTCCATTTTGCTAGCTGGAGCAGGACACGGAAGCCCCAACACTGTGTTGCTGCAGGGCCAAACTACATGCTACACTTTTTTAATGAGTTGGATTAGGAATTTCTTGACCCAACTCTCACTCCACTCGGTCAGACGGCAGGTGGTTCAGGGGACAGATTTGGATTGGGACTACAGTTCAGGGGGACAAGGGGCATCGCCGCCGCCCCCAGTGGGCCAGAAACTGGGACCCGACTCATTTTTTAAAAATGTAACCTCTAGTTCAGCCCTTAGAGTTAATCAGAAATAGGGATGCCCGCCTACAGGCCGGACCTGGGGATCCCCTGGAATTACAGCTCACCTGCAGACCACAGAGATTGGTTCTCCTGGCTGGAGAAAAATCGATGGTTTGGAGAGTGGGCTCTATGACACTGTGCCCCACTGGGGTCCTCTTCCCCCCCAGACTCCATCCCCACATCTACAGCAGTTTCTCAACCTCGTTCTGGAAATCCCACTCCACCACCCCCACTGGTGGCGGGGGGGGGGGGACCTGCTAAACCTAGTCAGAAACAATATTTTTGTATTCTACCTTTTCTGTTCCTCTCCCCCAGTTCCCTCTGGTGCATCTCTTTCTCTGTGTGTACTTGGGCTCTTTTTGTAGCAGGAACTCCTCTGCATATTAGGCGACACACCCCTAATGTAGCCAATCCTCCGAGAGCTTACAGTAGCCCCCTGTAAGAAGAGCTCTGTAAGCTCTTGGAGGATTGGCTACCATTGGGGGGGGGGTGTCGCCTAATATGCAGAGGAGTTCCTGCTATTAAAAAAAAAGCCCTGCTTAGAACAAACTTTCAGAAACTGGATCTGAGCCCCAAGGAACTCTTTTTGTGGCTAACCTTTTCCCCTGGCCAGTTTGATCCACTCATGCCCCTTAACAAACAAGGGAAACGTTGAGGAGGGGGAGGCATTTGCCTTGCTGGAGACAAAGAATGTGTCCGGTTCTCCCTCCTGGGCACAGGAGGGACTTTCTCTATTACACACATCCCGGCGGCTGAATCTCAAGTCTCCCCTGGAGTAGTCACCAAAGGGCACAAGCAGTTAATTCCTCATAGGTGGCAGATCTGCCTAAGAGTGGAACATCTGACAAGACTGGGCATCGTGCGTCATGAAAATGCATGCACCTCACAGCGGGTCCTATCCTCCTTTAAGAACATAAGAGATGCCAATGTTGGATCAGGCCAAAGGCCCATCCAGTCCAACACTCTGTGTCACACAGTGGCCAGAAATATCAGGTGCCATCAGGAGGTCCAGCAGTGGGGCCAGGACATTAGAAGCCCTCCCACTGTTGACCCCCCCCCCCAGCACCAAGAAGACAGAGCATCACTTGCCCCAGAGCCCCTAGCTATACCTTGTGGCTAATAGCCACTGATGGACCTCTGCTCCATATGCTTATCTAATTCCCTTTTGAAGCTGTCCATGCTTGTAGCACCCACCACTTCCTGTGGCAGTGAATTCCATGTGTTAATCACTCTTTGGGTGAATAAGTACTTCCTTTTATCCGTTCTAACCCGACCGCTCAGCAATTTCATGGAGTGCCCACGGGTTCTTGTATTGTGAGAAAGGGAGAAAAGTACCTCTTTCTTTACCTGCTCTTTCCCATGCATAATCTTATAAACCTCGATCATGTCACCCCTCAGTCGTCTTTTCTCCAAGCTAAAGAGCCCTAAGCGCTTTAACCTTTCCTCATAGGGAAAGTGTTCCAACCCTTTTATCATTCGAGTTGCCCTTTTCTGCACTTTTTCCAAAGCTATAATATCCTTTTTAAGGTGTGGTGACCAGAACTGCCCACAGTATTCCAACTGAGGACGCACCATCGATTTATATAGGGGCATTATGATATTGGCTGATCTGTTTTCAGTCCCCTTCCTAATAATCCCCAGCATAGGATTTGGCCTTTTTTATTGCAGTCGCACACTGTCTACACATTTTCATTGAGTTATCTACTACGACTCCAAGATCTCTCTCTTGGTCAGTCTCTGCCAGTTCGGACCTCGTCAACGTGTATTTATAGTTAGGATTTTACACTTGATCCCATCTCTCTGGAGGAATACAGACCATTTTCAGGCACATGGCTCAGCTTTTGTAATGTATTCAGATGCTGCCCTGAATGCATGGGGGATGAAGTGTGAATCATCCCATAGAGAAGCTATGTTAAGCTTCAGGCTTCGGCAGGGATTCGCGCCGAAAGTATTGTGTCCAATCACATTTGAACTGTCTGTGGTGGGAACGTATATGATTGGACTGTTATGCGAACAACCTGATAGGTTGGTACTTGTACAGTAGGTGTGGCTACATTAGCCCGGAATGTTTAAATACCGAGCAGCTGAAATGGACAAGCTGTTCGGGCTATGAGGAGTTGTACCGTGTTAGAGAAGTTGATTATCGAGCTGAATAAACCTGAGTTTTGCTGAAATCACTCTCTGACTATTTTGTTAAGTACCGACTTAACAGCTTTACAGCAAGTTTATATGATACGTGTATGACTGAATTCTTTATCAGTTCTTTGGTCCTTTATCCCTTTACCGTCACAGCAAACACAATATTTTGGCCACGTGCAAACTCGGGAGCTCAGCTTAGCCGTGGGTCTCGCAGTTCTTCTAGAATTACCAACCATAGGGTTAGGGTTAGGGTGACGGTTATGATCCGGGTTATAGCCTTCGTTTATTATTATTAGTTTAGTTTAGTTTATTACGGCCTTAAGACCAACATACGGAATAAGCATAACATGTGAGGGAGAGAGAAAAAACCGTCATAATATACAAAAACAGAAATCTGAATTTAAGGACTTTTAAAATGCGATTCCCGCAATCTAAGAATTAATGCACAAAACTCAGCGACTGAATGTGTAATCTCTGCATTCTTATCTGATAGGAGCCAGTGAAGCCTTGCTTTGTTTGTATTAATGTGCCTAGGTGTCCAATCGACTAATGGGGTAATGGAAGGGCAGAACATCTAGCTAGGGCAAATGCCCTTCTAGAGGAGAAGAAGAGATTGGATTTCTACCCCCCCCTTCCCTACCCAAAGGTGTCTCAGAGCGGCTGACAAACTCCTTTCCCTTTCCCTCCTCACAACAGACACCCTGTTAGGTCAGTGGGGCTGAGAGAGCTCTTGACAGAAACGGCTCTTTTTCAAGGACAGCTCTTGTCAGAACTATGGCTTGCCCAAGATCATCCAGCCAGGTGCAAGTGGAGGAATGGGGAATGAAACCCGGTTCTCCCAGATTAGAGTCCGTGCACTTAACCACTACACCAAACTGGCTGGAACGATCAACAGAATGGGACGTTCACTTTGTGCATGCACACAAAAACTTATACCCAGAAATGACCCCTGATGTTTGCCATGTTTAATGTGTCACAAAACACATAAGCAATGGCAGAACCTGGGAGGAGAGCCAATAATGGTTATCAGAGGTACAGCAGCTGACAATCACTTTCCCTTCCCCTCCCCACAACAGACACCCTGGGAGGTAGGTGAGGCTGAGTGAGCTTTTTCCAGAACAGCTTTTATCAGAACTATGGCTTGCCCAAGGTCATCCAGCAGCTGCAAGTGGAGGAGTGGGGAATCAACCCCGGTTCTCCCAGATTAGAGTCTGCGCACTTCACCACGACACCAAGAAGAAGAAGAAGAGGAGGAGGAGGAAAAAGAGGAAGAAGAAGAGGAAGAAGAGATTGGATTTCTACCCCACCCTTCACTACCCAAAGGAGTCTCAGAGCGGCTTACAAACTCCTTTCCCTTCCCCTCCCCACAACAGACACCCTGTGAGGTAGGTGGGGCTGAGAGAGCTCTTTTGAGGACTGCCCTTGAGAGAACAGCTCTGAGAGAATTTGTGGCTTGCCCAAGGTCACCCCAGCAGCTGCAAGTGGAGGAGTGGGGAATGAAACCCGGTTCTCCGCGCACTTCACCACGACACCAAACTGGCTTCTAGAATTCTTTCCCTCCACTGAAGTCAAATATATCGCCGGCTCAATGGTGCTTTTGATATTTAACAACACCCCGAGTTTGGACAGGTTAAAGCCTGGCGTTTTCCTAGAACGAGGGAGATCTTGGGTTGAAACTGCAAGGTGCCAACAATGATTTCTCCCCCTTGTACGCACCATGCAGTCTCTGCCAGTTCCTTTCCAGAGTCCCAATGAGCCATACGAACAGTGGAGCGAAGGCGTGAAAGGCTCAGTTCTCCTCTCCCCTTTTCCAGTGTCAACTACCTCATCAGCAAGGACACGTGGATCGAGAAGTGGCCAAGTGACGACGAATGCCAGGAGGAGGAATACGAAACCCTGTGCACCGACCTCATTGACTTCTCCAGCAGACTCAGCATTTTCGGCTGTGACAACTAACAACGGAAACGGCGTCTGCAGCAACTGCGTGAAGGCGGAACTGAACCGACATCGCAGAGAACACACCTCCCAGCCTGAAGCTCCGGCTTCCTCGCTGGCTCTGCTGCTGTACCCCCACATTGTGTTTTTTTGTATACATACATATAAAGAAAAATAAAGAGAGTTCTGACTGTGCTGGCGTGTGAGTTGTTCACCCCAAATCCTCCTATTTTAAGGTGGCTTCAGGATTCAAGCAGAAAGAAGTTGTCAGCAGTGTTCCCTCTAAGCTGAGTTAGTGTGAGCCAGCTCACAGTTTTTTAGCCTCCAGCTCATGCATTTTTGCCTTCGCTCCAGAAGGGTGGCTCCAGAGCAAACTAATTTATGAAGTGGCCAAATCACTCACTCACAACGTTAATGCCAGTAGCTCACCAAGTAGAATTTTTGCTCACAAGACTCCACAGCTTAGAGGGAGTATTGGTTGTCAGCCAGACCAATTAAGGTTCCCATTCGCGGCAGGGCACCTGTAGCCGATTGTAGCCTTTGCAGCCAATGCTCAGCTGACTGGTGGGTGGAAACTGGGTCCAAAGGAGGGAGGCACGATCATTCTCAACAGAGAAATTAAAAAGAAAAGCCCTCTTTTCATAGAATCACAGAATGTTAGAGTTGGAAGGGACCTTGCAGGTCATCTAGTCCAACCTCCTGCACTCTGCAGGAGCACAGCCGAAAGAGAGCCCTACATAGAATGATAGAATGTTAGAGTTGGAAGGGACCTTGCAGGTCATCTAGTCCAACCCCCTGCACTCTGCAGGAGCACAGCCAAAAGAGAGCCCTACAACATACCCGAAAGAGGGTCGTTCAGCCTCCGCTTGGAAACGTCCAGCGAAGGAGCCTCCACCACCTCCCAAGGCGGACTGTTCTACTGCTCAACCACTCTTACACTTAGGCAGTCTCTCCTGATATTTAGCCAGTATCGACTCCCTTGTAATTTCCACCCATTAGATCTAGTCCTGCAATCCAGAGTGAGAGAGAATAGATCTGCTCCATCTTCTTCACAACAGCCCTTCAGATACTTTTGTTACAGGAAGTTCTAATCGCAGAGTTCCTGACGATTCCTACGGGTACCTGGAGGTGACAAGGATAGTTCATCTTCATGGCCTGCTGCCACAGAGGATTGTTCCACGAGCTTCTAGAACCCCTTAGCTGAGTACTCCCCTTCCCTTTTGGTACAATCAGAGATCCAGTCTCCGTTCTCAACCAAACGATCATGTGATAAAGACGGAGGGAACACTCTCCCTTCAGTTCTCTTTCTGCTGCCATGGAGACTCTAAGCAAAGTGCACTGCTGAGGGCGAGCCACATATTCCACCCACTCCCTGTGCCAGACCAGCGAAGGGGAGTGAGCATCCCAAATTTTGGGGAATAGGGTGTTTGGCGCCATCTTTTAGACAGCCACAAGCAGTGCTCCCTCTAAGCCGTGGAGTCTTGTGAGCAAAAATTCTACTTCGTGAGCGACTGGCATTAAAGTTGTGAGTGAGCGATTTGGCCGCTGCATAAATTAGTTGGCTCTGGAGCCCTCCTTCCTGAGCTAAGAAAAAAATGTGTGAGCCGGAGGCTAAAAAATTGTGAGCTAGCTCACACTAACTCAGCTTAGAGGGAACACTGGCCCCAAGTATTGGAAAGTAGGGGTGTGCATGGGGAAAATTATTGGTAAATGCCAATATTCCCGAATCCCAGTATTGGTATGACACTGGGATTCGGGAAATATTTCGCATGGACGAAACCAAAATATTCCGCTTGCCAGCAGAGTGTGTCACTTTCACTTCCCCACCCCTTGGAAGTAGAGAAAAGAAGAAGAAGAAGAGATTTGATTTATACCCCGCCCTTCACTATCCAAAGGAGTCTCAGAGCGGCTTACAAACTCCTTTCCCCTCCCCTCCCTACAACAGGCACCCTGTGAGGCAGGCGGGGGCTGAGAGAGCTCTTGACAGAAACGGCTCTTTTTCAAGGACAGCTCTTGTCAGAACTACGGCTTGCCCAAGGTCATCCAGCCAGGTGCAAGTGGAGGAGTGGGGAATCAAACCCGGTTCTCCCAGATTAGAGTCCGCACACTTAACCACTACACCAAACTGACCTGCTCTCCCTCCCCTGAGCTCCCCCAGCCAGCCCGCCACCACAGGCCGACTGGGGCAGCGAAGGCAGATTGGAGAGGCGTCTTTAAATGCCTCCCCTTCACTTTCCTTCCACAGCCGACCTGACAAGGTGGGCTGGCTGGGGAAGCGAAGAGAGAACTTTTTAACTTTTTAAACACCTTCTTGCTCCATTGTCCCTAAGGGGGCCATAGGATACAATGGAGAGATTTCCTCTGCAGCGCGACTCAAGAAAGAAGAGGTTTAAAGTTTAAATCTGCTTTTGTTTTCCCAGCCGATCCGCTGTGGCAGGCCGGCTGGGGAAGCTAAGACTGATTGGGGGGGCATCTTTAAATGCCTCCCCTTCACTTCCCCTCCCCAGCTAGCCTCCCCAGCTGGCCCCAGAAGGAAGGGGAGGTATTTAAAATTTCAATACCTTCCCTTCACTGCACCTCTCCAGTGAAGGGAAGAGAAATACCTTCCCTTGGCTGGGGAGTCACAACGTGGAGGCAGCATGAGCCCCAGAAGGAAGCGAAGGAATTTAAAATTTAAATACCTTCCCTTTCTCCGAATAAATTCCAAACAGATTCGGCATTCATTCAGGGACTCCCTATTCAGCCAGCTGAATCGCATCAGAGAATCTGATTCGGCTTCCGGCATGCCTGAATAATGCCAAACAGGCATTATTCGGGTTTTTCTTCAGTTTGGCCGAACCGAATGCACATCCCTATTGGAAAGACCAGGGTCGAGAAGTCCTCTCTGATATCAGACTCTGAGGGGCAAACAACACAGGACATGTCTTAACAAGTCAGGTCTGGTTTTTCCAGCTGCATGCACAACTCCAAAAAGGGATGAATAATGGGGCCATTTCAGCTCAGGAAAACAGGATAGAAAGAAGGGGGGAGCTCTTCCTTCTGTTGTGCTGAATCAGGCCCCTGCGGAGTTTTAAATGAACATTCTCCATACCTGCTGTGCGGCCGCAGGGAAAGTGGGTCACATCCAGGGAATCTAGTCCCAATTTGTCAAAAAACCCATCTTGTGTAGATTGGCCCTCTGTGGCTCACTATTGGGTCAAGCAGTTTGGTCTGGGAGCACCTGATCCCGCAGGAAAAGTGGAGCTAAGTGTGTGCGGACTAGACCCATCCCTGGACGGAGATCCAACAAGAAGCCCCATGCGAAGGACTCTGACCTTATCAAAAGAACAGAGGCCAATCAGTAAAACCAAGGCTTAGAAAGGCTTAGTCATGGAGTTAACTTCATAAGTATGTCATACCTCATTGTATAACATACTTCTGAGAATCGTATATCGCAGCCTCAGAAACCACACAGCGAAAGTACCAGAGCTATGTAGGGCTGAGCTGAGATGTTACCCAATTTCGTATTCGTTTTTCAGTGTTGAAAAGTGCCTCCCAGTTTGGGAGATTTTTTTTCCCCCTCTCGTGGCATTTCCACTGATGCTACAGGGCTGTTCAGTTTCCTTTTAGTCCTTCCACTTCTCTATTTTCCTTTACCTTCTGTAGCCTCACCGTCACATAAGAACATCAGAGACGCCACTGTTGGATCAGGCCAAAGACCCATCCAATCCAACACTCTGTGTCACACAGTGGCCAAAAATACCAGGTGCCATCAGGAGGTCCAGCAGTGGGGCCAGGACACCAGAAGACCTCCCACTGTGGCGCCCCCCCCCCAAGCACCAAGAAGACAGAGCATCCCTTGCCCCAGACCGAGAGTTCCTATCTAGACCTTGTGGCTCATAGCCACTGGTGGACCTCTCCTCCAGATGTTTATCCAATTCCCTCTTGTATGAACATAACAGAAGCCAATATTGGATCAGGCCAATGGCCCATCTTGTCCAACTCTCTGTCACACAGTGACCAAAAAAACCAGGTGCCATCAGGAGGTCCAGCAGTGGGGCCAGGACACTAGAAGCCCTCCCACTGTTGACCCCCCCCCCAAGCACCAAGAAGACAGAGCATCCCTTGCCCCAGAGCCCCTATCTATACCTTGTGGCTAATAGCCACTGATGGACCTCTGCTCCAGATGCTTCCCTCTTGAAGCTGTCCATGCTTGTAGCCGCCGCCACCTCCTGTGGCAGTGAATTCCATGTGTTCATCATTCTTTGGGTGAAGAAGGACTTCCTTTTATCCGTTCTAACCCGACTGCTCAGCAATTTCATGGAGTGCCCACGAGTTCTTGTATTGTGAGAAAGGGAGAAAAGTACCTCTTTCTCTACCTGCTCTTTCCCATGCATAATCTTATCAACCTCGATCATGTCTCCCCTCAGCCGTCATTTCTCCAAGCTAAAGAGCCTTAAGCGCTTTAACCTTTCCTCATAAGGAAAGTGTTCCAACCCTTTTATCATTCGAGTTGCCCTTTTCTGCACTTTTTCCAAAGCTACAATATCCTTTTTAAGGTGTGGTGACCAGAATTGCACACAGTATTCCAATTCCAAATGAGCTTGCACCATTGATTTATATAGGGGCATGATGATATTGGCTGATCTGTTTTCATTGCCCTTCCTAATAATCCCCAGCATAGCATTGGCCTTTTTTACTGCAGTCGCACACTGTCAGAGGCCTAGTGGTTTAATCTGTTTAATCCGACCGGCTCCTCTGGTGACCCAGGTGGTTTTTGCCAACCCAGCGGCTCGAAAGCAATTAACACCTAACAATGCGAGTAGACAAATGGGTATCTACCCTTAGATGGGTAGGGGGTACCCACCTCTGATGAGGACTTGTGGTGGTGACACGGATGGCGTGGATGGCGTGGACGGCATCGCGGTATCGGCGGCGGTGGCGAGTGCTGGCGGAGGCGGAGTGATCCCTGGTGGCCGGAATGGAAAACATCGGGCGATAGCGACGGCGGAGGCTAGAGAGACGCACGACGGCGTGTGACGCAGGCACAGTGGTGCCTGATGGACGGAGCCGGGGTCGGAAGCGTACATGAGCGTACATGAGCCTGCGCGGTCCTGCCGGTGGTCGCCGTGGAGACATCAGAGGCCTAGAA